GCTCACTAAGTAAAACTACTCTTTCATTAGAAAAATCTGCTGCCGTTCCAAGATAAGCTGCACTTAAACTTCAGCTTTAGGTATTCCTAATTTGCAGTTGCCTACCTTCACTTAGTGATAGCACAGCCAAATGATACTGTGTTCCACGGCCACCCGCACTGTCATCGTCAGCCAACCAATGATAGTTGCAGTTACATATATGTACCCATCCCAAGTGTCGCGTATCTACCCAGAAGACCATCTATGTCACGTGCGTGCAGAGTTAGATTCTCAACAGTCTAATTGTATATTTGTATAATATAATCTCCTCGATGCTGTGCCATCACTATCCACATCTTCTTGCGCTGGCCTTTCGATGAAAAATTTAGTGTGTCTGTTGTGAGATAGGCAGCGCATTTTACCTGCTGTTATTGGGCTGAATGTATGTAAATAAGTGAAAAATTTAAAAAAAGTCATCTGTACAAGCAGTGGCCTAAAAAGTCTGTAATTGTAGACTAGGACAATTGTTGAAGTTGCTGTGACATCTCAGATACTACCTTTGAATAAACTGTTTACAGGGTCTCTTGGGATGCTGTTTCATAGTGAAAGGAAAATCTTTCCTTGTGATAATATGAGGTAAAGAAATTGGATTACCTGAGCTTTTTATTTCCAGTGTTTCAAAGTGGAGAACATAACTCTTTATTGTCTGTAAATCTAACATTATTACTTCCTCTTAGAAGAATATTGTATCATTAGATGTTTGTTTGAGCTGGTAACATCCTTGCAACTGCTGCAATATTTTTCATTAGCAACCTGTATAATAGTTTGTACACCAGTACTGTTCAGATTGTCATGAAAAGTAGCTTTGACCATTTACCTACCAGTAGCAGAATAGTATTTCTGTAAGATTTCCGGTGTATTCCTACCATATCATATTTTATTTCTATAATGTAATTAAACTGTTATTTATTCAAGGAGAAAAAGTATTCTTCTACTTTTTTTGTTTTCCAAATTTTGAGATAACTGAGGAAGCCACGTGACGATGCTGCCTCATCCCACAATCTGGTGCTCTACGTTTTGTTTATAAGTTTGTCTGTCAGATTCTGAAACAACTGCTTAAACAACTTGACAACAGGTTGTCAAGCTTTGTGGGTTTTAATTGTACGTTGATATGTTCAAAGGAGGAGGTAGATTATATATTTTATATTTGTGTATTCACTACTATGGAGACAAGAGAGAAATGACATAGTTAAAACTGAATCTCCTGTTTCATTATGTAGGCAATTTCCCTTTTCTTCTGTATTAGCCAAAATGCAATAAATCTCTTTTGCCTTCCTCAGATGCATATGTTTGCACAGAGATGTCACATTAAGACAAACCTATATACTTCAGAAAAACAAAACACAAAAGAGCAGAAGAAAGGAATACAAACTAAAATAGTGCTGCCAACAGCAACGACGACCTAAATTAGTTACTGCTGGTTGTAAATGTAATCAAAGACTTGAGACAAATAGAAAGTTAGCCTAGTTTTGGCCAGTGCTAGTGGGGACAGAGTTACGGGGGCGGGGGGCAGTGGAGTGGTCCAACAGGGATGCACAAAAGCTGTGCTGGGAGAGCAAGCTCAGCTGTGCCATTGCCTACAGGGCACACGAAAGTGCCCCATCACTGCTCATCCACAACCGAAAGGAAGGGTTGAAAAAACACTTAATAATCCCTTTGTGGTCCCACACGCCCATCCAAAGCCCACTAAATGCTGTAGAAAGGTCCCTGCCCGTTTCAAAGGGTCAGTTTTTCATATGACTTAATCTCATATTATGTTACTTGGGCAATTTTCCTTCTCCACATTTGTGATTTGAAAACAGAGGAGGTCCTTAGGGGACGGCGTGAGCATGTCCGGGGGAGTTGGATCATGGTTGTGCCATAGTAGTTGTGTTTTTAAAAATTAGGTCACTGATGAATTGAGAAAGTCTTAGCAAAACAAAAGCAACTAGAAATGAAAGATTAGCTCTTAATCTTTAGCTGCATACTACATTTAAATGAAGAAGTCTGAATATTTCTGCTGAAAGCTGTCACTTCCAAAGCGGCCAGGAGACAATTCCCACTGTATTGGCATGTTCACTAGAAAATAAGGGCTATACTGCCACAAACCGACAGTTCCTCTTGATGGTAACACCTAAGTCTATTCTATAAACAACAGAAGAGGAAATAATAACAACTTTCCAAGCAACTGCTTTCCCACACTATACCAGCTCAGGAAGTGTGCAGGCAAATATACTGTCATCATTTCAGCTTTTCATATTAACTTCCATTATTATTTCCGCTCTTCTGACAGTTGTTTTAAGAAGTCACAATATCCTCATGCATACACATCGTCAATAAAACATCTGCCTTTTGTTGATTTGTTTGGGGCTTTTTTTAATGTTTTGTCTTCAGTGAAAGTCCAGCTTTGGCTTGATTTAAAAATTCTATCAGAATATCTGGGAACAGATTATAAAAGAAGAGAAAAAAACCCCATTTTGCCTGTGTTTAAGAAAGCATAGGGTGGGCATTTTTATTTGCAAGTTTAGAATACGTCTTCCGCCATTCTGCCTTTATCCATTGGTCTTTTTAAGTAATGGATATCAAGACTATCAACAGAGTTTTCTTTAAATAGCAGCACAATGTATGAAGCACATGATTGCCTTTAACAGGGCTCCTTAGTTTGAACAGTCATCTAATACTAATCTTTAAAATTCAGTTAGGAG